CTCACAGCAACCTCCAACTCCTGGGCTCAAGCGAGTCTCCTGCCTCCACCTCCCAAGTAGCTGGGACCACAGGTGCCCGCCACAATGCCCAGCTATTTTTTGGTTGCAGCCATTATTGTTGTTTGGTGGGTCCGAGCTGTATGTGGCTGGTGCCTTAGCCACTTGAGCCACAGGCGCTGAGCCACCTGACTATTTTTTTGTTGCAGTTGTCATTGTTGTTTAGCAGGCCCAGGCCGGGCTCAAACCCGCCGGCCCTGGTGTATGTGGTCAGTGCCCTAACCACTGAGCTACGGCTGCTGAGCCAACATTCCATTTCTTTTACCCCAAACAGTTCTGTGAAATCAAAATCCAAATATGAAAGGGGTTTTGACCTTTCCTTGTATTTATTCACTGTGCCCGTTATTTTACTTACTTGCTCATTTATTTTATTTATTTTTAAGTTTTTGTTATTAAATCATAACTGTACATTGATACATTTATAAGGTTCAGTGTACTTATTTGATAAGGAGTGTGAAGTGCTTACATTGAACTGATTAACACATCCATCACCTCACTTATTTGTTGTGGTAAGATAATTATACTCTTTTCTTAATAGTTTTGAAATGTACCACTTCATCATGCACATTAGGTGAGGTCTCCCCAAATACCTTCTCTTCTCCTCCTGTCTCTCCCTCTTCTCTCCTCCCTTCTCTGTCCTCTTCCCTTCTACCTTCTGGATGGTAGTTATGTTTTACCATTCGTATGAATGTGTAGGTGATTATATTTTGATTTCATAGTAGTATTGAGCATATTGGATACTTTTTTCCCTATTCTTTTTGGTGTTACAGCTCACAGCAACCTCAAACTCTTGGGCTTATGTGATTCTCTTGCCTTAGCCTCCCAAGTAGCTGGGCCGCCAGGTGCCCACCACAATGCCTGGCTATTTTTTGTTGCAGTTGTCATCATTGTTTAGCTGGCCCACGCTGGGTTTGAACCCATCAGCCTTGGTGTATGTGGCTGGCACTGTAACCACTGTGCATCAGTGCTGAACCTTTTTTTTTTTCTTCCAATTTTGAGATACTTCAACTCCTGCTGCAGCCTACAGCTGGGACTACAGGTGCGCATACCACCATGCCTTGCCTAATTTTTAATTTTTTTGTAGAGGAAGGGTCTTGTTCTGTTGTCTGGGCTGGTCTCAAACTGCTGGGCTCAAATGATCTTGCCTCAGCCTCCCAAAGCACTGGGATTATAGGTGTGATTGATTGCACTTGGCTAAACTCTAGTCTTTTGCCTATTGATATCCAGGTGTCCCAGGACCATTTGTTGAAGAGACTGTTCTTTCCCCTATTGAATGATCTTGACACCATTGTTGAAAATCAACTGGACCATACGTTTTTGGTTTTATTTTTTGACCCTGAATTTCACCCCATTTGTCTTTGTGTGTATCCTGACACCACACCGTTTTGATTTTTTTTTTTCTTTTTTTTTTTAAGAATCAGAGTCTCACTTTGTCACCTTTGGTAGAGTGCTGTGACGTCAACAGCTCACAACAACCTCCAACTTCTGGGCTTAGTCAATTCTTTTGCCTCAGCCTCCTGAGTAGCTGGGACTATAGGCGCCTGGCTATGTTTTGTTGCAGTTTGGCTGGGGCCGGGTTCCACCCTGCCACCCTCAGTATGTGGGGCCGGTGCCCTAAGCACTGAGCCACAGGTGCCGCCCATGAATTGATGATTATTTTTGTTTTGAGACAGAGTCTCCTTATGTTACTCTAGATAGAGTGCCATGGCGTCACAGCTTACAGCGACCTCAAACTCTAGGGCTTGAGTGATTCTCTTGCCTCAGCCTCCCTCCCAGGTAGCTGGGATTATAGGCACCTGCCACAACACTGGCTATTTTTTTGTTGTAGTTGTCATTGTTGTTTAGCAGGTCCAGGCAGGTTCTAACCTGCCAGCCCTAGTGTATGTGACTGGTGCACTAACCACTGAGCTAAGGGCACCGAGCCTGATTACTGTAGCTTTATAGTAAGTTCTGATATCAGAAAGTGTGAGTTTTTTAACTTTATTCTTTTTCAATATTGTTTTGGCTATTTGGGGCCCTTTGTGATTCCATGTGAATTTAAAGATTAGCTTAATCTATTTCTGAATAAAAGGCTACTGAAGTTTTGATAGAGATTGCATTAAATCACCATCTTAACAACATTAAGTCTTCCAATCCATAAATATATGGTGTTTTTTTGAGACAGACTCTCAAGCTGTCACCCTGGATAGAGTGCTATGGCGTCACAGCTCACAGCAACCTTAAACTTTTGGGCTTAAAAGTTTGATCCTTTTGCCTCAGCCTCCCAAGTAGCTGGGACTACAGGTGCCTGCCACAACGCCCAGCTAAGTTTTGGTTATAGTTGTCATTGTTTGGCGGGCCTAGGCTGGATTCAAACCGCCAGCCTTGATGTATGTGGCTGGTGCCCTAGCTGCTTGAGCTCAGGTGCTGAGCCAACATGGTGTTTTGGTATTTATTTAGGTCTTTAATTTCTTTTTTTTAGGACAGTCTCACTGTGTTACCCTTGGTAGAGTGCTGTGGCATCACAGCTCACAGCAACCTCAAAGTCTTGGGCTTAAGTGATTCTCTTGCCACAGCCTCCCGAGTAGCTGGGACAACAGGCACCTGCCACAACACCCAGCTATTTGTTGCAATTGTCATTGTTATTTAGCTGGCCTGGGCTGGGTTCAAACTCTCCAGTCTTGGTGTATGTGGCTAGCGCCCTACCTACTAAGCTATGGGCACCACTCTAGATCTTTAATTTCTTTCATCAATTTTTGTAATATATAGGCCTTTCGCCTCCTTGGTTAAATTTATTCTTAAGTACTTTATTCTTTTGGAGGCAATTATAAATGGAATTTTCTTTTTCATTTCCTTTTTGAATTGTTTATTGCTGGTGTATAGAAGAACAACTGATTTTTGTGTATTGATCTTGTTAAATTTATTATTTATTTATTTGAGACAGAGCCTCAAGCTGTTGCCCTGGGTAGGGTGCTGTGGCGTCACAGCTCACAGCAACCTCCAATTCCTGGGCTTAAGCGGTTCTCTTGCCTCAGCCTCCCAAGTAGCTGAGACTACAGGTCCCCATCACAACACCTGGCCATTTTTTGGTTATAGTTGTTATTGTTGTTTGGCAGGCCCAGGCTGGATTCAAATCTGCCAGCTTTGGTATATGTGGCTGGCGCCTTAGCCGCTTGAGCTACAGGTGCTGAGCCAAGCCTGTTAAATTTATTACCTCTAGTAATTACTTTGTGGATTTAGCAATTGTTTGTGATTTTTCGAAGTTTCTAAAGAGTTTTCTAAATTCTTTGATTTTCTGAATATAAGATCATGTTACCTACAAATAGAGGTAGTTTTACTTCTTTTTAATTTGGATGCCTTATTGTTGATTCACAGTGGTGAAAAGGGCATCTTTGATCTTAGGGGGATGCTTTTGGTCTTTCACCATTGAGTGTGATGTTAGCAAGTTTTTATAGATGCCTTATATCATTTTGAGAAAAAAAAATCTAAGTTTTCTGGATGTTTTTATCATGAAAGAGTGTTGGATTCGGTTGAATGTTTTTTCTGCATCATTGAGATGATCATGTTGTTTTTTCTTTGTTCTATTTTTGTGTGTTGTATTGAATGATTTTCATATATTATACCACTCTTTTATTCCTGGCATAAATTTTACTTGGTCATGGCATGTAATCCTTTCAATATACTGTGAATTTGGGGGTTTGCTAGTTTTCAAACCTAATATAAAAGGAATCATTTAGTACCAGATTTGAAAACATTTAATAAGACAACCTATAAGATGCTTAAGATAGTGCGTGACACAAAGTATACTGTAGTATCATCATGATCTTCTTCATTATTAATTTATCAATATCCCCTTAGGGGGATATTCCCACAGAGAGGGGAAGTGATATTATTAGAGTGTGCATTTCTCACGTAACAAAAACAGCTCAGAGCCCACCTGCTCTGCCATTCTGCATTTGAGTCAAGGACCTGGCTTATTCTTTGCTTGAACACTGGGCTAATGATAAAGAGCATTTATTGAGTGCCTGTGATATGCTAGGACCTAGCTCATGTTGCCATCTCTCTTTTTTTTTTTTTTTTGATGCAGAGTCTCACTCTATCGTGCTGGTTAGAGTGCTATGGTGTCATAGCTCACAACAACCTCAAACGTTTGGGCTCAAGTGATCCTCCTGCCTCAGCCTCCTGAGTAGCTGGGACTATAGGCCCCACTATAATACCTGGCTAGTTTTTTTTTATTTTCAGTAGAGACGGGGTCTTGCTCTTGCTCAGGCTGGTCTCATACTCCTGAGCTCAAGTAATTCTCCCACTTCAGCCTCCCAGAGTGTTAGGACTACTGGCATGAGCCACTGTGCCCCATCTCTCTTTTTACCAGCCTTACTGAGATATAATTCACATACCATGCAATTTAGACATTTAAAGTGTATAATCCAAAGGCTTTTAAGGTATTCAGAGTTGTGCAACCATCACCACAGTCAATTTAAGGACATTTTTACTACCCTAAAAATAACTCCCTCCCCTGCATAGACAACCACTAATCTACTTTTCATCTCTATAGATTTGCCTGTTCTGGACATTTTGTATAAATTGAGTCATATGTTGTCATTCTTAAGGACTGGCTTCTTTCACTTAGCATAAATTATGGTGCATCCACACTGTATTCTGTGTCAGTACTTCATCTCTTTTTGTGACTGATTAGTATCCATTGCATGGATATGCCACGTTTTGTTCATCCATTCATTAACTGATGGACATTTGAGTTGTTTTCACTTTATGGCTATTATAAATAATGCTATGGACATTTGTGTATAGGTTTTTGTGTGGACATGTGTTTCACCATTTCTTTTTTAATGCTTAACAGCTCTCAGAGGAGTTGTTTTTTTTTTTGTGTGTGTGTGTGTTTTGTGTAGAGCTCTTGGTTATTACGGTCAGAACAACTGGAAGGGGTCAAGGGGTCCTTAGAGGGTATGGCAGCAGCTCTATCCTGCCTGCCACAGAATTGTTTTGACATTTGATCCACCTGCATGGCTGTATTGGTGAATATCAGCCCATGGGATTTGGCCTTACAGGGCCACATGGCATGTGTGCTTGGAAGACTGGGCCTCCCCTGGGACTAGGCCACGAGTTGGCAAGGATGGTTCCCTGCTGGCCACATGCTGGGGCAGCTGGTGCCCTGGGGCACTGTTGCAGGCCAGTAATGACCTGTGGATCACTGGGCTCAGCCCAGGCCAGCCTGCGTCAGCAGGGGCCACCACAAGGGCTCTTCTGGGATTGGCATTCTTGTCCACCCTCCTCCCACCTTGCTGCCCCTTGTGAGTCACTATGTGACTGGGCTGCCTGCCCACTGCCTGCCTAGGACACCACTCAACCTTGTCCTGACCTCTCTCCCTCCCCTCCTGTTTCATTTCAGGTGAATACATTAAGACATGGAGGCCCCGATACTTCCTGCTGAAGAGTGATGGCTCCTTCATTGGGTATAAGGAGAGGCCTGAGGCCCCTGACCAGACCTTACCCCCCTTAAACAACTTCTCTGTAGCAGGTATGTCTTAGGGTGAACATGCCAGTATTCTAGTGCTCAGAGAATGGCTATTAGATCTTAGGGGCACATGGGACTGTTATTCCTGAGCGCTGGACCTGTGCAGATGTGTTTTCTGCCTTTCTCTTGCTTTCCTTCTGTGAGTTTTTTGGTTTTT